TGGGTCACCATTCTTTGGGATGGGAACAAATATAGATCTCCTCCAGTCAGTTGGCCAAGTGGTTGTTCTCCAGTTTTCTTGGCACAACTTGATGAGCACATTCAGGGCAGAGGGATGAATAGTGTTTAAATATATTATTCCATCAGTTGGGGCAAATAAGGTATCATAAAAATATTTCAGGCCTGAGTCCCTTGATCAAGGAGATGATGGGCATTTTTCCTTTCCATCATTAACTGTAGCTTTATGTTGCTTAAAACTAGTTTTAAGTCTTGGTGTTGTTCACTATATATTAGAGTCTTCTGATTTTAAGTGTTTTATGCCTGTGCAAAAACTTTTAAATAAACAACTGTTAACTGGAGTAAAAAAAAAAAAAAAATCCAGTAATACATCTACCATCTCCTACTGTAGTTAATTTTGGTATTTGTACCAATTTGTGTTGTTATATGCTGTCCATTGTGCTGCTAGTACTACTCCTCCTCCTCATAGTGACGTTATGAACAATAGATCTGATCCCTGTCCTGGTCATCCTCACAATGTCCAACATGCTCGAGCCAACTGTTATAGTCACACTGACAACCCACCTTGTTGAGGGTCTTACTCTCTTTCTCTGACCCTCTATCTTTCCCAGCATGATGTCTTTTTCCAAGGACTGGCCCCGGCTAATAACATATCCAAAGTTTGTTCGAGCTATAGCAATAGCTTACTCGTTTTTTAAAATTCTAGAAGAGAGTAAATTCTTCATGAGTGCCAACTACAATATGGAATGGGAAAAGCCATAGCTCTTAGCTCTCACCACAAAAAGAAACCGTTTAAGTAAACATTAAATTATAGCATGAACTTCTACCAAGTGCCATTTATCTAAATTGGAGAGAGTGAAACAATTTGACTCAATTATCCACAAATATCCACAGGCTTTCCTTAGTGATAGGAGTCTTGAGATTCATAGCTTCCCTATTGTTACCTGGAATACAAAAAATTTAATTTCTCCTGATGTTTCCTCCTAATTATTCCTTCTAGTAGTTTAATTTTCTTTTTTCCTTTTATTCTATACTTCTCCAGTGGTTCTCCGATTGGATAAAAAACCCGTATTTTCTCCTTTTAAAAAATAAGCTTTAAGATTCTTTTGCTCCCTGTCATCTAATAATCCAAATTTTTATATTCTATTTATTTATACATAAGATGCGTAACGAGCACTGATGGCTCCAATGTTTTAAGCATTTAGCTGCTAAAAAAACGTTGTTGTTAAGTGCTATCTAGTCAAGTACAACTCATAGCAACCCTATGAATAAAAGATCTGAATCCTGCTTTAGCTTGTGCCATCCTCACACTTCCAGACACACACGAGCCCACTGCAGCAGTCACCTTGTCAATTCACCTGGTTGAGGGTCTTCTTCGCCAACCCTCCACCCTTCCCAGCATCAAGGAATGGCCCCTTCTAGAAACATGCCCAAAGTATGTGAGGTGAAGCCTCATCATTTCTTGCCTCCAAAGAGCACTCCAGCTGCCCCCTCACATATCTGTTTGTTCTCTTGGCTGTCCATGGGATGTCCAGTGCTTTTCTCCAACACCAAACCTCAAAGGCATCAATATTTTTTCTACCATCCTTTTTTCGTTGTCTAGCTCTCAGATGCAAGTAATCTTGAAAGGCCATGGCCTCAATCAGATGTACCTTAGTCCTCAAACTGACATCATTAATCCTCAACAATTTGGAGAGGTTCCTCACTGCAGATTTTCCCAGTGCAATGTGTCTCCTTATTTCCTGATTACTGGTACCAAGGGTGTTAACTATGGATCCAAGCAAGATGAAACTACTGACACTGCCTACTCGTCCAGTGGTAAGAAGCAATTGTTTTTTTATATTGAGATGCAATCCATACTGAAGGCTGCATTCCTTGATCTGCTGCAACAAGTGCTTAAAGCCCTCCTCACTTTCTTTTTCAAGAAAACAAAAAGTAAGTGGTTAAAATCCACCAGTCACTTTTGGGAGAAAGCTGTGACAATCTACATCTTAAAGAGCAAAAAAATCAAAATCATTGACATAGAGTCAATTCTGAATCTAGCAATTCTATGAGAGTGTACAACTGCCCCAAACTTTGTGAATTTGTAAAATGGAAGCAGACTGCCACAAATCTTTCCCTTGGAGTAGCTGCTACCCTTTAGAATTGCTGATCTTTCTGTTTGTCTCCACTTCACTAGAGTTCTTTTCATAAAAAGTGAAAACTTATCATCTCCTTAAGACAGTCCTAGTGTTCTCTAAGATTTCTGTTGTTGTGTGCCATTGAGTTGGAATCGACTCATACCTGACTGACCCTGTGGGTTTTCAGCAGCAGTAAATCACAAGCAAGAATGCCCATCATTCTCTCACGAAGCAGCTGGTGGATTAGAGCTGTGTGCCTTTGGGATCACAGCACAGTTTCTTACCAATAGGACACCAAAGCTCCCTGGGGTCTTAAATCAGTATACCTTTTCGCTAAGGGCTATCTATGATCTTTGAAGAACAGAACAAAATTATAAAAACTTAGCATAGTAAACCATCCCTGCTCAGTAATCAGTATCCATTTTGATGAATGCCTGTTTTTGGTTTGTTTTTGTTTTTTTAATATTAAGTCTAGCTTTATTTTAGAAAAGATTTACAAGTCTTTCTGTCAACTTCAAACATGTATCTGTGAGTTCAACATATCTTTCACCAGTTGAGACTTACTGCTTTAATTACTCAAAAAATAGTAAGACATCTACTATTCAGTTTAATTCTGACATTTTTCTTCATAAATGCTTTAAATACAGTTGCTAGTGGTAAGTACCACTATGCAGCTGCATTTGGTGTAAATTTACAAGCTTGCTTCACTTTCACAACCTTCTAATTCTGCTCCAAAGTCCAAATCATGTAAAATGGGAAAGAAAGGTTAGGTTAACTCAGCTGCCAGAAGAGGCCACTGAATGCCTACTGCAGAGCTCTATGACAGGTAAGTGAAGATGGATAGCCTCCAGTAAGGTCCTCCAGCAGGGGAGAGGAAGCTCTGACATGGTTTAAATACCCAAGACTTCCTAACTTCTCAAACTCAGGAACCTGTGGTCCAAAGGACTCTATTTGCAATGGATGGTATTCATATAACGCCTCTTCAAGCTTTTGAATCGGTCCTAATGATGTATGTTGACCCACTTTGATGCCTGTGAAAAATGTCACTGGTTTTATGGGTTTGGGGTTCTCAAGGTGTATTTTCAAATGAGCAGATCGACTTTTATGTGGAGCCAAAAGAAGAGTAACAGGGAGATCATAACTCTTCCTCCTTTTCAGAATATACTCCAGTTGGTCTTTTTGCATAAAAAGTCTTCTTTGTTCCTTTTCCCATCTTTCTACTTCCAAAGCTGCTTCTAATTCTTCCTGTTCTTAAGTCACTTTTAACTTATTTTTCTGAATAACACCGTTGTTTTCCTTTTGGTGTATCTCCATTTTGTTTTTGGTGTTGTCTAAATCAATGTTGTGGGTCAAGCTAAAAAGAATTTCTTTCATTTCTTCCAAGAAGTCATTATATTCTTAGACTAGGAAAGTCTTCTCTTTTATAATATATCTTTAGCACTTTGCCCTTAATTTAAACTTTGTTAACAGTAGACGCTTCAAAGAGTAGTACACTAAAGTTGTTCTTTTCAAGAGAGTGCCACACTCAGGGCAATTTCCAGCTCACAAACAGCAAATCCCCACTGGCCTGGTCCAACTGCCCATCTCTCCCCTCTCCCCACCTCCCTTTTATGCCTATGCCCTTAACATGGATTTCCCACTAAGATAAAGGAGCCTAAAGTAGCTATGAATTAGAATTAATTCAATGGCAATGGGAATTACCTTAAGTCTTCAGTTACTGACTCTTCTATTGTGATCTTCTTTCCAAAAATGGGTTCATCTGTGCTTTCAAAATCTCTCTCTCTCTTTTTTGCACTATTAGTTGACTCTGACTGTAATTTAACATCAAAATGTTTCCTGAAAAAGAAACAGATTTTTTAAATTACTTTAGGGATTACTCCATAAATACTTTTGATATAATATATACCATTAAAAACAACAAAGACTTACACAGAGATGTGTGTTACAAACTAAACCTGACTAAAGCCCAAAACTTTAATAGTAAAATTCACACTACTTTTTTTACATTGTATATTTTCCTCAAAGTTTTATTTAAAAAGAACAAAAACTGAAACTTTATATTAACTATTAATGTGTATTTTTTTTTATAATCCTAAGCAAAATACAAGGTGTCATTTTCACAAGCACCATCATTAAATACATCTAATTCCTCACTGATAAGACACAGTTAGGTTCTGATGACCAGGTCATCATGCAAAAACAGAAGATGAAGACATCAAGTCACTTCCCATCCCTCTTCTGTACAAGTCCCGCAAGTCTCCAGCTACAGGCACCTGCAAGTGCCACTTTTGCGTCCCCCTTATCTTAGGAGTTTGGCCCTCAACTGCCTGTCAGAAGAGAGGTTTGGATTCCCAGTCAAGACATCTCAAGGCTTCCTCTCTCCCCTCCATCTAATTTCACATTCAACTTGTAATACACTGTTCATACTCCACTGAAATAAAAGAAAATCAAGCAAGAATAGGATGTTTTAACTGTCTTTTCAGATAATTATAGCTATTCCTCTTTAGTCCTCCACCAAAAATGCACCACATTTTGACAACTACTGCTACAACTATGATTTCCACAACAATCATAAACCATATTATGTATTAGTTCAGACAATAATCACAAACAGAAAAAAAGTACACACGGTATTATGAGAAGAGTAGTCACCTTTGGGAAGGAAAGCAAGATTTCTATATTATTTCTTCCCCTAGCATTTACAAATACATGCTCAACTTTGTGAATTTTTTCTCCATGGAATAAAATGTATTTTTGTGCTGTATATGGCTGAATCCTTCCATAACAACATTACCAACATCATAAAAAACTGACATTTTAAGACGCTGTCATTATCTACTTAATGGAGATTGTATGCTGCTAACTACTATGTAACTATGAAACCTTGTTTGAACAAAGAAGTCATCAACACCCTAGGGCATCAGTTAGTTTCCTTATCAGGAAAATGATGAGAAACTAGAGCTAAGATTCTCTAATTCTAGTATTCTATTATTCCATCACTGAGTTAATAGCTAGCTATCAAGAAACATTTAAAAAGTTACCCTAGGAGCTAGAATACCTACATGTGAAAAAGGTTTCAACAGTAGTGGTCTGGTGATTTTCTACAGAAAACTCAGCCAATGGAGCTATGTATGGAGCACAATTTCACTCACACAGACACACACACACTTGGAGTCGCCATGAGTCAAACTGACTCAAAAACAACTTGTTTTGGAGCTGGTGAAGGTAATAAAACAGACAACAAAAAAAGTATCACAGCTGCTATCTACATTTTTATAAGTTGAAAACATAAATTGATGGTGAGTGGTGTTTTTAGGTGCTACCGAGTCGATTACAACTCATAGCAACCCTTGAATAACAGATCCGAGAACTGCCCTATCCGACACCAACCTCATCATTGCTATAGTCACTGTGTCGACTGATTTTGTTAAGGGTCTTCCTCTATTTCACTGACCCTCTGCTTTTTCAAGCAGAATATCTAAGGACTGCCCTCTAATAATAATAGGCCCAAAATACATGAGATGATGTTTCATCATCCTTGCCTCTAAGGGGCATCCTGGTTGCACTTTCTGCAATATGAATGTTTTGTTTTTTTGGCGGTCGATGGGATAGTCAGTACTTTTCTCCAACACTACAACTCAAAGGCACTGACTTTTTTTTCCTGCAATCCTTATTCACTGTCCTACTTTTTTTTTTGTCCAACTTTCAAATGGATAGAAAGTAAGTGAAAAGACCATGGCTTGGAACAGGCACACCTTAGTCTAATCAGTGCTCCTCAGCACACTGGAGAGGTCTTTAACAGCAGATTTCCTTAATGCAACACATCTTTTGTTTTCCCGCCTGCAGGTACTCGGGGTGTTGATTGTGGATTCAAGTAAGGTAAAATCATTAATAAATCAAATCTCTCCATCTAACATGATGTTACCTATTGTCCCAGTGATGAGGATGAAGTTTAAGGCAGAGTTAAGGTCATGCTAGACCTTTAGGTCTTGAAATAGTTGTTGTTGTTAACGCCCTCGAGTCGTAGACGACTCATAGCGACCCTATGAACGAACAGCCTGAGCACTGTCCGTACACAGCGTTTCCAGAGGCAAGCCATTTTGGAATAGCTACCCAGTTCAAATCCAGGAAGCAAAATATGAACAGATACAAATTTTTAGAATTTGCGTTAAGTAGAACAACATAATTAGAATGGAAAAGTTCACCAGTCTTTAGAATGGGAGATTCAAAAGAGACACAGTATGGGCCCTTTCAAGAGTTTGATGTGATAGACTAGATCCTGTCAGGATTATGGAGTATGCACACATTCAAGTAGCGCAACTGGATGCCCTCTCTGAGCGAAGGAAGGACAGCTGTTTCCCACTCAGCCAGAGATTTAACTGCCATACAATCACGCACCCTGACCTGTTTTCTTGGAGGTTACGTTTCTGGCAGGCTATCTGCTGTCCCTCCTTTATTTTACAAATTCTGGTCCATTCTGGTTTCACTTCATCGTGGAAGAACAAGTCTGTACTCCAGCCTAACTGTCCAGCAACAAGGTTGGTGAAAAATGAACCTTAATTATCCAAGTCTCAGCTTTTCCTTGTGCTACTATAAACTGTCTTGCACACTCTTTAGGGGTTACCCATGGCAGTCTTTAAATATAGTAATTTAAAATTCTTTTTAGACGTAATGATAAGTGTTTATATGAGTTCATTATGGGTCAAGCAGGCTTACCATTTGTTAGCAATAGATCATATGATCCCCACAGATTCCAAAAGACAAGCATAATTACCCCATTATATCTATACCGCTTGGAGATCTTTCATTTTTTTGTGCCATTTGCTCTTTCCAAGCTAATCCAAGTCGCCTTTTTCTGAATTTCTTAGCCCTTTTCTCAATTAGTCATTCGTTCTATTAAAGATGATGTGTCTGGCACTAAGGCTGCTGCTAGGAAATACAGACCCAAAGACCACCTTCCTCGCCGGGAAAATAGGGGTGGTCAGGAAAGGCGGCGTTAAACTCAGCCGGTGCTCCCGCCACCAGAGAATATGGTAGGAAAAACCCCAAGAACCTGCCTTTTCCCCTAAAGTGACACTTTCTTCTTCCCTCTCCCATCTTGTTCTTAAACATTTCTTCCCTTTACTAAGCCTCTAAGGACATCCCTCCTTGTGTTTTTCTTAAACATCAACTCCAAACATGTGTTTTTAAAATACACCTTCTATGTCATCCTCACCCAGGCTTTTCCGCAGTTCCTGGCGGTCCCTTCCATTTCCCTTTCTCTCTTTCCTTGTCTTTTTTGGCTCCAGCTGTAGCGGTTGAGTCATCTTCAAACACGCTGAAAAGCTCATCCCCAAACGCGTCGGCCATATTTCGGAGCGGTGAGACTATCTCTCTCTCTTAACCAGGATGCCCCGCGACCGCGACCGCACCGGGGGTGACATCCAATGAGGGCTCAACGGTGGCCCGTGGGAGTCAAAAGTAGTGAAGCGGTGAAACGGACTCTCCCTCTTACCCACGATGCCCCGCGACCGCACCGGGGGTGACGTCCAATGAGGGCTCAACGGTGGCCCGTGGGAGTCAAAAGTAGTGAAGGCACACAGCCGCCGCGAATTCTTCTTTCATCACTTTTTCTTTCCAGATCTCTCTTTTCACAGTCAAGAGAAGCAGTTCAGAAACTTAAACTGGGCGCACTATGCGCAGAACTGGGACCCTGACGAGAGGCGTGCCGCAGACACATTGTAGGCGGAGGCGAGCGGGGCGGAGCCTTGATGGAGCGGACCAATTGTGAAGCAGCGAGAGCCCAGGCCTGAGAAGCCCGGATGGAAGTGTCAGGGTGGCGGCGCGGGCGCTGGGGAATGTGAAAAGCTGTCTTTGGCAGGGCTGTGGTGGTGCTGGGTCTTGGACCGGGAGGGTTCTTCCACTTCAGTTGCAACATGGGCGGCAAGAACAAGAAACACAAGGCCCCGGGGACCGCAGCGGTCCGGGCTGCAGTGTCTGCTTCCAGAGCTAAAGCTGCTGAGGCTGGAGCCACCGTGGAGGCTCAGAACAAGAAGACCGTGGCCAGGCCGCCCCCGGCCGCCGTTGCCAACACCCGGGAGCCTCGTGTCAAGCAAGGTACGAGCGGTTGTCAAACCAAGTCTCGGGCTTTGCGTCTCGAGACCCTGCTGTTTTACCCTGAAAGAGTAATCTCGTTTTGTCATTGGCGGATCTTCCCATTCGTAATTCTTACCTACCATACCACACCTGGAATTTCCAAGCCCATAAAGAGACCTGATTTTCAGATCAGTCTGAGCGGTTTGGCCATTCCCAGTTCCGACAGTTATCCCATAGCCTCCACCTTCTCTCATTAGCTCTTATTTGAGCACGGATCAGTCCTGCGCCGTCATTGCAACCAGCTAGTTGATGCAGAGCAGGATCTAGCATGTGGAGTTCTGGCTTCCTGGAGACAGCTCTATTTTCTGCCTGCTCTGCATGTCATTTCCAGCATGCTACATTTCCAAGTGTTTTGGAAAACCAATACTTAAAGTTAATACACTGAGCATAGTTTAACCTATCGCAGAATTATCTGTGCGTCTCCCTGTGTTTTTCCTTACTGTTTGTTAAAGTAAGTTTGATACCTTGGAGATTGCATGTTCCTGAAGCAGATCCGCAGGCTGCTGTTAGCAGCTGACTTCAAAAGTTAACCGGTTGTACATTACTTTTGCTCATCTTGCTTGCTTGTTATTAGAATAGTCTTTTGGTAAATACATACTGAATATTGCTGTGTATTTGATTTTTGTGATCGGAGTCAACACCACTTCTCATGAAGATTGCTGGTCTAATATAAGTGGCGGCGGGCATTAGGAAAAAAAAGAAAAACTGACATAACATTGTTGTGTAGGGAGTTCTGGTGGCATAATCCATAGAGTTGCGCAGCTATATCCAAATCCGCATCTTCTCTAATGGTTCAAATCCAGCGGCTGTGACGCTGGAAAAAGTTGGGCAGCCTCCTTCCCTGCGATTTATAACCTCGGAAAACTCGCTGGAGGGTCACCTGTGAGTCCTTTCTGAGTCAGTACTAGCGAGGTGGTGGGGTTTTTGTTCGTTTGCTCTGGAAGAGAAATTAGCTGTCCCTGTTGTGAAGAAGGAACCCTGATGGTGTAGTCCTTAGAAGCTGGGCTGCTAATCAGAGAGGTAAGGGAAAAGATGGAAAACTCCATACAGAATCTCCCTGAGTTGGAACTGACTGTATCAGGCTGGGTTTGGTTTCTGAGGAGTAGAAGGGATTTTAGGGACCTCTGGTGGCCTAGTCGTGAGAAACTGCGCTGCAATCCCAAAGGTATGTGGTTCGAATGCACCAGCTGCTTCATGGGATAAGGTTGGGGGCAGTCCCTTCCCCTGCAATTACACTGCCTCTGAAAAACCACTAGAGGGTCAACTCTGAGTCAATTTTGACTTGATGGAACATACTTCTGACTTGATGGTACAGAACAGCAACAACGTAGGAGGGATGATGGATGATCTCCGAAAAGGTGCTAGTTAAACTTAGATCAGGATGATCGACAGGGATTACTCAGCATTTGTAGTCCAATTCAAAAGGAAAGATGGAACGACAAGGAGGAGCCAGAGAAGCTAGTTGGATGGGCAGGCAGGGTGGAAATAGTGAGAATGTTGATACATTGCAAGGTGGAGAAAAGACTGTAATTGTTAATGACTTGAATCCACAACCAACAACCTTGGTACCAGCAATCAATCAAAAGATTGAAAAAAAAAAAGTGTAGCAGTACTCAAAAGATATATTTGCATTAGGAAAGTCTGTTGTCAGTGGTACCTCTCCAAAGTACTGAGGAGCATTGAGGTCAGTTTAAGGACTAAGGTGCATCTAATTCAGGCTGTGCTCTTTTCAGTCATTTGCTATGCATATGAGAGCTGGACAGTGAATAAGGATGACAGAAAAGGAGTTGATGCTTTTCAGTTGTGGTGCTGGAGCACAGAATAGCCCATGGACTGCTGAAAGAACAAACAGGAGAAGGTACAGCCAGAGAGCTCCTTAGGGACAAAGATGGCGAAGCTTTGTCTCACCTAGTTTGGGCATGTCGTTAGAAGCGGCTACTCCTTGGAAAGAGACAACATGCTTGGAAAGGTAAAGGATCAGCAAAAGAGAGGAAGACCCTCAACAAAAGGAATTGATACAATGACTACAGGAATGAATTCAAGTAGTTAAAAAATGGTGAGGATGGCACAAGGATACCATAGGGTTCAGATCTGCTGTTCACAGAGTCACTGTGCCTTGTCCTCGATGGTACCTAACAAACACCACCAACATCATGGCAGGCTGTTCATGGACTGTGAGATGGTAGTCTAGTTTTGTTCGCTTGTACTTAGGGTCACTGTGAGTCAACAACAACAGTCTGTGTTGTTGTGTGAACTTTCGCCTGAAACAAAATGTTCAGAAAGAGAAGTAGTCTTCCAAGTAAAGGTAAAAGGCACCATGTACAGAGATCTTGAGTCGAGAAAAATTTCCAAAGGCACTGGAGGAACTCATAGAATGTGAGTATTATCCAGAGAGACTGAAGAAGTAGGTAGGAACAAGACATTAACTTAAAATTTAAAAAAGAACACTAAACTGCCCTTTACTGGATTCTGACTTGTGGTAAACCCCTGTATTAACAGAGTAGAACTACTCCCTAGATTGTCTTGACTACCAAGAATCTGCTTTTCTGAAGTAGATTGCCAGGCCTTTGTTCTGTAGTTCTGCTGGGATTCGAACTGCCAACTCTCAGGTTATTTGGCCATCAGTTGATTTCAATTCATAATGGCCCTCTTTACAACAGATGTAAACACCATCTGATCCTGTGTCATGTTCACAATCTCTGCTGTGCTTAAAACCATTATTGCAACTACCATGTCAGTGCCTGTCATTGTGGCAAATACTCCACTACTGTGGAGTCGATTCTGACTCATAGCAACCTTGTGGAATGGAGTAGAATTGTCCTGTAGGATGTCCAAGAATGTAAATATTTATAGGAGCAAACTGTCCTATCTTTCTCCCATGGAACAGCTGGTAGATTTGAAGCGTCAATCTTTTGGTTAGCAATTAATGCTTATCCAAATTCACTGCACTACCAGGATTCTTGAATCTTCCCTTCCAGGCTGAATAACCTTTGCTCTGCAACTTGTTGTAATAATAGTCTTAACTACTGTAATTATATATATCATTTCTCCTTGGTTTCTGTGGCACTTGCACTCTGGATCAGCCCCTTTGTGCTGTGCACTTTGCCTTTTTGACAGTACTCTGAATTCTTTGAACTTCCAGATAGTCATTTGTTGTATTCCTTAGCTGTTTTCCTCCTGCCCCAAAATTCTGACCCTTGAAGGTACTGGTCCACTCAGTAGCTCTGCTATGAGCTCTGGTAGCTCAGTGGTTAAGCTTTTGACCACTAACTGAAACGTCTAAACCACTCTGCCGCTCAATGGGGAAAAGATGTGACAATGGGCAACCTTAAAGAGTTACAACCTTAGCGATGATATCAGGCAGTTTCTAGTCTGTCCTAAAGAGTTGTTATGAGTCAGCTTCAACTTGACAGCAATGCAGCAATGCATTGGCAGCTCTTCAAGAACATGTGTATTTCCGTTCTGTAGATGACTCCTCAGTCAGTATGTGCATTGTTGGTGCTACTGATATCTCCCCTCCTGCATCAAGGCAGCCACTTCTGCGTTTACCTGGGTCTTGTTGAGTATTGTTGAGTCTGAACCAACCCATAGTCGACCTTCTGGAGAGTTTTCAGAGGCAGTTTAATTGCACAAGAGGAGCTTGCCCAACTTTTCCCGCAAAGCAACTGGTGGATTCGAACTGTATGCTTTCAGGATAGTAGTGCACCTCTTGCCACTAAGCCACCAGAGCTCCCTTAGATCCTACTTTTTACAAGCATCAAAATGCTTATCATGGCATAACAGTAAGCACTCAGTGGCTAGCCACCAGGTTAGCAGTGGAAGCCCACTAGCAGATCTGTGGGAGAGAAAGACTTGGCAGTTTATTCCCATAAAGATTGCAGCCTAGGAAACCCAATAATAATCTGTAGTATAAGGTGACTATCAGTGAGAATTGACTTCTTGTTAAAAAGTCCACTGCAGCTTATAGCGTCCCTCTGAGCAATGTATCTGAACCCTGTCCTGTGCTATCCTGACCATCTTCGTCATACTCAAGCCCACCTTACAGTTCTGTGTTTCTCTCTCCATCTGGTTGAAGGTCTTCCCCTCCTTCATGATAGTCCACCTTTCCAAGCTTGATGCCCTTTTCTAAGGACTGGCCCCACCTAACAACATGCCCAAAGTATGCCAGACGAAGTTTCACCAGCCTTGCCTCCAAGGAGCACCCTGGCTGCACCTTTTATATCTGTTCAAAGGCTTTAATAACTTTTCTATTGTCATTAGTCATTGTCCCACTCATAGCTGCATAGCAAGTAATTGAAAAGATTATGGTTTGGATCAGGTGCACCTTAATCTTCAAACTACTCATTGCTTTTTAGAACTTTGGAGAGGTACCTGACTTCAGAATTTCCTAATATGTCTTGATTTCCTGACTGCTTGTACCAAGAGTATTGATTGTGGATCCAAGCAAGATTAAATCATTCATAATTTCTATCTCTTCTCCTAATGATCCAGTTCTTATGAAAGACTCGGGCTCATTTGAAGTTACTGTGCAAACACCATCTATCTGTCAGTAAGGATCTATGTGTTACTACAATGGTGAACAATTTTCAGCAGAGCTTCCAGTTTTAAGTCACACTAGGAAGAAAGACTTAAAAATCTAAGAAAAATCAGCCATTGAAAACACTATGGGAATATCATTAAAATCCATATAGCTGATAAGAATCTAATAACTGAAATAGTGGTAAGAAGCAGTACTGCAATCTCAAAGTCCCATGGTTCGAATCCTCTAGTTACTACACACAAGAAGGATGAGCAGTTTCCTCCTTGCAATTTACTGCCTCTGAAAACCCAGTGGAGGGTCAGCTACAAGTCAGTTCCAACTACATACACCATACAACACGGTAATAAGAAGACAAGCCAATCATAATATAGGCAAAAAGTGTAAGTAATGTTCTTCTAAAGAGAACATTCATGTAGCCACCAGGTAGATGAAAACTTACTCAGCATAATTAGCCAAAGAGCAAATCAAAATCACAATGTAATACCATTTCACTTGCACCGTTTTTGTTAGGTGCCAACAAGTCAACTATGACTAAACAACTCTATCCTCACCATCTTTTGTATACTCAGTCCCACCGTTTCAGTCCCTGTGTCAATCCACCGTATTGAGGGTCTTCCTTTTTTTCTGTGATCTTCTGCCATTCCTGGTATGCTTTCTTTTCCCAAAGACTGTCTACTCCTGACGTGCCCAAAGAATGGGAGAATTTCCACCATCCTGGCTTCCAAGAAGAACCCTGTTGTACATCCTCCAAATCATCCTTGTTGGATCTCTTTGTGATTTTGTCCTAAATCACGCAAGACCTGTTTGTTCTCTTGACAGGTCCCTTAGGTCTCTCTAGCGTCAGGTTTCTGTGAATCAAAACTATCTTGTTGTTGTTGTTGCTAAGTACCGTCAAGTCAGAACCAACCCATAGCTGACCGTCCAGCCGTTTTCAGAGGCAATTTAATTGCACAGGAGGAAATTGCTCATCCTTCTCTCTGGGAGCAGCTGGTGGATTCAAACCATGCGCCTTTGGGATTGCAGCACAGCTTCTTACTACCAGGCTACCAGTGCTCCCTTTATTATAGTATGTTTTTATAATAATAGGAAGATGTTACCTTTTGGTGTATTCCTTTTCTTATGAGTTTACAATGGCATTTTCTAGAGGAGTTCATATGTCTAACTTGTGAATGCAGAAATTAGACATAAAGGAAATGTACAAAATTTGAAAAGCTTAGGTCTTCTGTTAAGGAGCACAGTGGGTTAAGCTTTGGGCTGCTAACCAAAAGGCTGGCAGTTTAAATCCCCCATCTTCTCCATGCAGGAAGGTGCTTACAACATTGAGAACCTGGAGGAGCAGTTTCTTCTGTCCTGTATGGTCACTATGAGTCAAAATTGACTTGATGAGTTTATAAGATTTCTCAGGGAATTGTCTTGTTATTTTGAAAATAGTTATCTTTTCATAAAAATTGTTATTTGTATTAGCATATAACAGGGTTATTCTTAAAGAATTAAAAAATGTTGATATTTTTCCTTTAGTTTTATAATAAAAGTAGATACAATACATGTAAGTGAAACTACTTGAATTCTTAAATAATTCTTAATTCTCATGAGTCCAAACTTGATGATAATATTTCTTCCTGCCTGATTACTTATTAGTTCTGGTGGTTTGGTTTGTTCAGGGACTGATTATACATAGTATTTCTATCAACTCAAACAGACTTGGCAATCTTAGATAAAATAGGAGAGAATGATCAGAATTCCTGTTTCCCCTTTTCTTCAGCATCCCAAGAAAAGACTGCTTTCTCTTCCAAATTACCCATTTGTCCATAAGGTATAATCTCTGAATAATCTTTTGTCAACTAAGTATCATGAGGAAAATATGTGATTAAAGTAATTTATTAAAAAATATAAAGATGAAAATAAATTTAAATGTACACACTATGCAAATACTTAAGATACTATAAAACACTTCATAATCTAAAGACATGCTAGCTAGCTGGTAAAATATCTTAGGAAGTTTCCAGAAGATACTGCTAACTCTAGGATTGAGTTGTGTGATGAAGTGCATTGTATTGACTCTACTGTTTATTATGTTCAGGTCCGAAAATTTATAGTTTTAGTTCTGCGAATGATTCTGGTGGTCCTGCAAATCTGGATAAATCGATTTTAAAAGTAAGTAACCAAGATTTTTAGTCATTTTTAAAAAATCATACATTTCTTACAAACAATATTTTCTTAAATAAAAGAAATAGTGGGATATTTTCCATTCATAGTACTCTATAACCTTAAATGGATGTGACTCATAGACCGTATGTTATAAACCTGTAAGAAATGAGAGAATTCAGTTGTTGAGACTTCTGAGCAGCACCTCCACACCCTTTTTGATCTGACCTCGCATACCTTTCCAACCATCTTACTGTCCATATGATTTTTGTCATTCCAAGCTTTTACCTTTGTGCACTCTCTGCCTAGAATGGCCTTAGTTTCCCTTCTCTGCTATGTCTGTGACCTTCTTAACTCATCAGTCTGATTTTCTTGATTTTCAACATTTTATGTATCCTTTTTCATAATTATCAAGCAAGACTGTAATTTTTTTTTATATGGATTTCCTGGGGTAGACCAAACTCTGGTGGTATAGTCTATTGGGAATTGTGCCGCTAACCCAAAGACACGCCTCTCTGGCAGTTCACATTTACCAGCTGCTCCAGGGGAGAAAGAGGAGTATTGGCCCATGTTGGCTTAGAGCCTCAGAAACCCACGGAGGGTCAGTCGACCAGGCAGCAGTGAGCTTGTTGGAGTTCTATACTGAACTCCTGAAGTATGTTTTCATGCTTTATAAATATAGTTATTACTTATACAAAAAATGTTTCAATACAGCATCTGTTTCTTCAGGAAATGTGCTTCGGTTTATTAGTAGACATTAAGAAATGTCTGGCTTTTTTTTTCAGTCGCTTTAGAATGATGTTGTTGTTGTCCTGTACCATCTAGTCAGAACCAACTCATGGCTGACCCTCCAGCGGGCTTTCAAAGGCTGTAAATTGCACAGGATATTGCTCATCATTTTCCCATGAAGCAGCTAGTGGCCTTAAATCACACAGTTGTTGCCTTCAACTCATAGTGACCCTGTGTACAACAGCTCAAAGCCTGCCCTCTCCTCAGACAATCTCATTGACTCTGACCCCCATTGCCCCTGTTACTGTATCAGTCCATCTCATCCAGGGTCCTCCTATATGGAACTGTCTGTCCCTCCACTATTCCAAGCATGCTGTCCTTCTCCAGAGTCTGGTCCCTTCTGGCCATGTGCCCAAAATATTGAGACAGAGCTTCAGAAGCCTAGCCTACAGGGAGAAACTTGGTTTCACCCTCTGCAAGACAGACCTGTTTGTTTTCTTGGAGATGTATTGTATGTTCAGTACTCTTCTCCCGTACCCCAACCCGAAGGCATCGATTCCTCTTCTTTCATTTAGTCATTGTCCAGCTCTCTGATGCCTAGCAAGTAATTGCGAAGACCCTGGTCTAGATCAGGTGCACCTTAGTCTCTAAACTGTTGTCATTTCTTCTCAATACTCTGGAGAAGTCCCTGACTTCAGACTTTCCCCAGTATTATTCGTCTTTTGGTTTCCTGACTGCTGGTGCTGAGAGTGTTGATTGTGGAGCCAAGCCAGCTGTAATTGTTAACAATCTGAATTCATCTATCATGGTGCTGCCAATTGGGTTGTCAGCACAATGTCTTACCACTAGGTCACCAGAGCTCACATTTTGGGATGGTGCTGTCTTTTTTTAATAGCAACCCAAGAGTGATATAAGGACAATGTTTGGGATTTTTTTTGGTTTGTTTTTATGTTTACTTGTTGTGTACCATCAAATCAGATATGGCTGGCACGGGAGGAGATTGCCCTTCCTTCTCCAGCAGAACATCTGGTAAATTTGAACTGCGTGCCTTCAGGATTGTAGTACAGCTTCTTGCCACTAGGCCACCAGAGCTCCCTAAGGACAATGTTTTGAGATACTTTGTTAAAGACATTTTATGCATGATCCTTTCCTTACCATATATTTTCTTATTACTTTTTCCATATAATATTTTTTCCTTTAATATATGTTGAGAATGTTATCAAATTCTAGCCCAAGACATTATCGTACTATAATTTGATTTTTAGCCAGAATGTTGTAGTGGTTAGAAGGGATATAAAAAAACTATATTATTTCCTTCTAATTAAAGTTTTTTAGTAATTGAACTTTTACTAAAAATGACCTTTTCTCTTTTTTTTCCTCAACAGGTGGTTATTAATAACAAATTGGAGCAAAAAATTATCGGAGTCATCAATGAGCATAGAAAGCAAAATAATGACAAAGGAGTGATTTCTGGAAGACTTACTGCCAAAAAATTACAGGTACTTTGAAAACTTTTATTTAGTTAAATATTTTTAGTGGAACATTTTAAAGACAGATGATGGGCAGCCTCCTTCTGTGCAGATAATTGCTTCTGTAAACCTGCCAGGGGTCAGCTATGAGTTGGTTCTGACTCAACAGTGCACAGCAACATGTGAGGTAAAACTAATTTTTAAAGTTACATTGAGATTTCACACAGATTATTTTTTCATTCTAAAAATAGGAAGGAATTGTGCCAGTGAATGTGTTAAAATGGTTACGCTCCCAAAGTTTTATTATTAAACATCTGCTATATGATTAGACCGAATTCTAGTCACTTTGCTTACATATCTTAGAATAGTCCTACAAGGCACAGCATACCATGTGGACACCAGAACCTATGTAAAGTGCAAACCTAGCAGAGAAGGAAGACTTAGGTATTTCTTACTAATAGAGAGCGATAGGTGGGAAACATGTAAGACCCAGAAAAGCAAGATAATCCTTTCAAGGTCCAGCTGTCACAGATCTGACTCTTATTTGGCCTTATTTTGCAAATTACAGAATTGCGACTTGGAATAATTCTGTTTTGAAGTTATTCATTTGTAAATAGCAGAGTAAATGGAGGCAGAATTTAAATAGCTCTCAGTTAGGTGATGTTCATTTGGCTAAGGCTTATAGCAACCATTTGTACAAAGGAATGAAACCCAGCTCAATGCGACACCATCCTCACAATCTCCACTGTGTTTCAATCCATTGTTACAGAGTCGGCATCAGTACGTCTCATTGAAGGGTCTTTCTCTCCTTATCTTCTTAGCTAATACTCCACTTTTCTAAACATGTTGTCCTTTTCCAGGCTCGTCCTGACAACATTCTCAAAGTATGACTCTAAATGTCATGCTTTAGAGAGAACATTAAAGGACCTTTTCTTTATATAATGGTACTGTTTGTAGTAAAGACCCTAAGTGGTCAGCATTAGAAAATATTTCATGAAATTGTAGTATGGCTACTCAGTAGAATATCATATAATTAGATAATTAGAAGTGATAATCAGGAATTTTTAATAACTTGAGTTATTAGATGCTTATGTTGCAATGTTTGTTTTTAAAAATTCATTGAGAAATTACTGAAAGTAAACATACTACACTGGAAACAATACCTTTCAGTAGTCAGTCTATGAATATGAATAATTTCTTTTGTTCCTTGTTTTTATTAACCTATAGTTAGTAATTTTCAAATCAGGGAGCCTATTTAATTCTTTTCAAAAGATGGGTATATTTGAAGTTATAATTTGTCTCAAAGATTCTGGTTTGGAAATAATGGAGGTTCTTACCAATGTGCATTCATTACACACCTTTAAAAAATCATCTCCATGGAAACAAATATTACTCTACAGCAAAGATAAAAATGTAAAGGGGTAAAGAAACCAGATTGCTGGAAATAAAACTGGAGTAGAATTCATGAGACTGTTGACACATTATGAAAATGTAACCAATGCCACTGAACAATTTGTATGGGAATTGTTAAATCTTAATTTGCCAAGTAAACATTCAACAAAAAGACAATGAAAGCTTATTAATAAATAAAATTAATGAGAAAATAGAATCAGTATTGAGAGAATATACCCAAATGTTGATTTTTCCATTTTTCCCTTTTCTAGGATTTATACATGGCTTTACAAGCATTTTCCTTTAAAACAAAAGACATTGAAGATGCCATGACTAACACACTCTTACATGGAGGTGATCTCCATTCTGCTTTGGACTGGCTCTGTTTAAATCTTTCAGATGGTAGGTAATATTGCCATAAGTTTACATTTCTAAAAGTTTTTCAGATGTGTTAGTATTGTGTTATTTGTATTATACTTTTTTTAAAAAGTTTCTCACTTTTACTCTTTTTAGATAGTAAATTTTTCATTTTTTTCAGAGTATACTTTGAAATAGTTTTGATTTAATTAAAAAATGTTTGTGTTGCCTTAAATTGTTTATAATCATTTTATAGTGTACATAATACAACTTTTAAATTACTCGGCTTTGCCTTGCTTTACTAATAGAGAAATCTCTGTATCTTGAATGCTAAATATGTTACACTGTGCTAGGACTGGACTTGTCAGGAAGAAAGTGGCATCAAAATTGGAGAAAGACTCGTCAACATCTTGCATTATACAGATGGCACAACCTTGCTTGCAGAAATTGAAGAGGACTTGAAACACTTGCTACAGAGAATCAAAGCCTTTGATATGAATTACATCCCAACCTCAAGAAAACACAGATTCTCACCACTGGGTCAATAGACAACATCATGATAGAGGGATGATTCTAGTTGCTGGTGGTTTTCATTTTACTTGTATTCACAATCACCACCTGTGGTAAAAACAGTCAAGACTGTCAGGGATAGTCAGTTTGATGTCACTTTGAAGACTAAGGTGCTCATGATCCAAGCTGACAACAACAATGCAATATGGCAATTACACTGTCTAGTTCTACATAAGCCACTTAGTACAGACTACTTAACCACATATAAGCAAGAATTTAAAGTTGGGCATAATGTCAAATGTACTGTCTGGTCATTCATAAAACCTCTTAGACTGAGTCGCCTAGATTTTGGTTAAAAACTACACCTATCTGGTTTTGGAAGGAGCTCTGTAAGCCTAGTGAATAAGAATTTGCACCACCAACCCAAAGGCAGGTGGTTCAAATCTTAACAGCAACACCATGGGAGAAAAAGGAACAGTCTCCTCCCATGCGATTTACAACCTTTGAAAACCCACTAGAGAGTCAGCTATGAATTGGTTCAGACTCAGGAGCGCATAACAATAACAATGTCAGATTTTGGTTAAATAATACCGATTAAACAGAAGATTGGGATTGTAATATATAATAAAAACCTATAGTACCAGTAGCATGTGTAACTGATTAATGATAATATCATATACTATAAGGATCCAAGGAATGAGAGGGATGCAGATCTTTTTATGAAAACATAAGAACCTAACACAGTGAAGAGGAAATAAATGGCCATATAGTCTGTCTGTCACCTGGTAGGTGTGTCCATTTATAATTTGATAATAGAACTGGTTTTAAACCAGAATTTTTTATCTTAGAAGATGAAAGGTAAAAGAAAATTAAGGTCTAGGCCAAAGCTTTTATCAGATCTTATGATTAATATAAATGTTCAAGAAACTGGCTCAAGTATACTTGTCAATGTGATCTTGAGGTTGTTGAGCCTTCTATCACTGTTGTTGTTGTTGTTGTTGTTATATGCCGTCGAGTCGTTTGCGACTCATAGCAACCCTATGCACAACAGCCCTAAACCCTGCTCTATCCTGCGCCAACTGCATCGCCTCTGACACACCCATCCCGATTACCCCAGTCACCGAATCAATCCATCTCATAGAGGGTCTTCCCCTCCTGCACCGTCCCTCCACCCTCCCAAGCATGATGTCCCTCTCCAAGGACCCTTCCCTCCTGGCAACATGTCCAAAGTATGTCAGATGAAGCCCCAGAATCCTTGCCTCCAAGGAGTAGCTTGGTTAATAATTAATAGTTATCATGAACTTCATAGATAACAGAATGAAACATTACCCAGTCAGTTGCCATATTCAAGTTGTACGTTGTGTCTGTTGTTTTAGCTATTGTATCACTTCATCTCTTTGAGGGTTCCCTTCATATTCATTGACCGTCCACATTACTAAACAAAATTACCTTTTCCAGATATGTCTTTTCTGATGATGTGCCCAAAGTAAGCAAGCACTCGACTCCCCAGTTACTTTCTGAGTAGAAACATTACAAAGTAGAGTCACTAAAGTAGAAACTACCACTTGGATCATAGCTCACAGAAAGTCCAACTAGTTGGGTAACACAAACCACTCTTCTACGGACAACCTACATTTTCTCTCTCAATCTTCATCTCCTCCCTCCCACCTTTGATAAAGTTGATAAGGCTGAGAAAATCACTAAATATCCTCTAGGAAAAGAACATTCTCACACACTGTTTTTATGAACAAAAATAGAAATCGTTCTAGACAATATGTAAAACAGTATGTATGTACTAACAATTCTACTTTAAAAAATTTGTCATAATGAAATAATAATTAAAAACTGGACATAAACCAAATGTTGAATAACTTCATTGCCATCAAGTCAAGACTGACTTCAGCAGGCTTTACAGGACTGTAAATCAAAAGGGAAGAGAATACCCATTTTTCTTCCATAGACGTAGATTCATACTGCCAGAGAGGCTTAACCTTTTTACCACAACCATCCTAAAGTTGTTGTTATGTACCGTCTGGTCGCTTGTGACTCATAGCGACTCTGTGTAAAAGAGCCCTAAATGCTACTCTGTTTGGTGCCAACCTCGCCGTCTCCAACACACTCATTCTTACCACCCCAATCACAGAATTGATCCATCTCATCAAGTGTATTCCTCTCCTGTCGTCCCTCTACTCTCCCAAACATGATGTCCCTCTCCAAGGACCAGTCCCTCCTTGCCCAAAGTATGTCAAACAAAGCTTCAGAATCCTTGACTCCAAGGAGAATTCAGCTTCACCCTCTCCAGGACAAACCTGTTTGTTCTCCTAGCAGACCATGGTATATTCAACACTCTTCTCCAGCACCACAGCTCAAAGGCATCAGTTCTCTTTCTATTATCCCTAGTCATTGTCCAACTCTCCAATGCATAGCATGTAATTGCGAAAATTATAGCCTGGATCAGGCGCACCTTAGTCTCCAGCCTGATGTCTTTGCTCTTCAGTACTCTTGAGAGGTCCCTCACAGCTGACTTTCCCAGTGCAATTCGTCTCTTGATTTCCTGATTGCTGGTACCAAGAGTGTTGACTGTGGAGCCAAGTAAACTAAAACTGTTAACTATCAAAAAAAAAACCAAAACAAACTGTTAACTATCTCAATCTCTTCGCCATCCATATTGATGCTTCCAATTGGCCCATTGGTGAGAATCTTTGTTTTCTTGATGTTGAGCTTCAATCTTTATTGAAGGCTGCAGTTCCTGACCTTCTGCAGCAAGCTCTTCAGGTCCCTCTCAGTTTCAGCAAGCAGGGTTGTGTCATCTGCATAACATAGGTTGTTGATGACTCTTCCACCAATCCTGATGCCACATTCCTCCTCGTACAGCCCAGT